TACTTCACGGTCAGGGCGGCTAGGGTCTGGAACCAGCTTCCATGTGAGGTGGTGCAGGCTCCCACCCTGGGGGTTTTTAAGAGGAGGTTGGATGACCACCTTACTGGGGTCGTTTGACCCCAGTACTCTTTCCTGCCATGGCAGGGGGTTGAACTAGATGATCTGCTCAGGTCCCTTCCGACCCTAGAAACTATGAAACTATGGGCCTATCAACTTATCAAGCTTGTGTTGATGCCAGTTTTTGTAGCCAGCATGGCACAAGGAGGTGATGTGAACTAGGATCATGTCCAGCTGCTTTTTGACCCCCTAGCCTGTGTGACAGGTACATCTTTAGAGCTGGGTTGACTATGGATCAGTCTTAACTATGGTTCAAGTTATAAATTGATGCCTTACCCACTCTACAACTGTGTCCCATAATCTGTACTGTCTCCAACATAATTAGTGAGCCTGCATGCTGTGTAAACTGCATATCAGCAACAACAGAACACATTTAGCTTAGGTTTCCCTTGGATGTGAATGTCCTGCTTGTTTGTTTTTCTTTTGTATTATTTAGTTAGAATCCAGCTTAATGCAAATCATTGTGGACCTGTGTCAAAGTGTACTTTGTATCAAGATGAAAAAAGGCTGCTTGGATGTTCTCCAAAGCTGTTAAATTATCTTTTGAGACAGCTGACATCTAGAGCTGTTTGAAGGAATTATCCCCTTTGAATTTAATGTTTCATTTCATTTTCAAACTGGATAATATATAGAGCCTTGTAAGGGCATTTCAGTGTACACAGTGAAACCACATGCCACAGTTGCTGAGCATAGTGTATGTGTTTCTTAGAATGTGTACAGATGTACACTGTCCAGCATAAACTCTTCTGGGAGTGGTTTAACCCTCGTTGTTCTCAGGTTTTTTTTATCCTTTGGGAGCAATTTTTACTCTGGGAGAAAAAGCTTGAACACCTGTATCCTTGCGGTTTTACCTGGGAGAGCAGTGATTTTCCCAGTAGAAAGTGAATGTCTGGGAGGGTGTTGGGGCTAGCTCTGGCCCTCCCAGAGCTGGCCTAGTACTGCAGTACCTCCAGGCCCAGTGCTAGTTCCCTCTGGAGGGAATACCCACTGTTTGTTTTTTAAAGGTAAAAAAAATCCAAACAGTTCCCTTCATCATGTTTGCCAAATATGTGCCATGTGTTTTATAGTTATGCTCAGTATTGGCTGCATTTAATGAGCTTCATAGTTGGTTTAATTTTCTGAGCTCATGCTGTTTTTGGCAGCAGTTTAATAGTAGACAATGTATTTTGTATTTTCTTGTATGTGATTATAAGATGAGGGGCTTTTTGCCTCTGTGCGAATTGGAGGGGAAAAAACCTCACCTTGTGTTCACGTAAATACAGTACTCCATAATAGTTCCATATATGGACACTCTTGTTCTGAAATAATTGTCCCCAGGGAGTGCAAGTCTGGAATAGGTGTTGCAGGATAGCTTGTTCCCCAGTAAGTATTCCATTGTATTTTCCCATGTAAATAAGTCCTCAGTGGTATAAGCAGTGGAGTGGAAATATCTGTGTTAAAGCTTCTGATTTAAATCTTGACAGAGACGATTTAACTCTTGTTCATAAAAACACGACAAACTGAATACCAGACAACTACTGTGTAGGGTTTCTACTGAATGAGACTTTCTATAAAACATGGTCTATTTAATAAGAGCAGGCATTTTTCTTGGTGTTTTTAGCCCAGTGGTGGTCAAGCTTCTGGCCTCAGGGCCAGAGTAGTGTGGGGCCGAGCCAAGGAGATCCCATGCATGGGGTCAATCTGCAGGCTAGTGTGTGGTTCCCTGTTAGTCTGGTTATTTGGCAATGGGGGAGTTGCAGCAAGTAACTCCCCCCTCTCCCACCAATGGAGGTGGCAACACCGTATCTCTGCCACCAATTTTTGGATCTGTGGGGAGCCCCATGGGATGGATTGGTCCACAGACTGTACTGAGCACCACTGACTTAGACAAAGCTTTCCCTTCCATTTTCAGTTTTTTGGAATCTGTACTGATAGTCTGTGCTGCATTTTCAAAAGTAGGTTGTCTTGCAGTAGTCCTTTGGGATCTTTAGCATGAAAACAAATGCGTATCTCTGTATGTTATTACGAGAGAGAATATTTTTTTACAGTGTTAAAGAAAACACACTTTTAGTTGACATAGGTAATGATGCTTTCATAGTAGTGCTGATGCTGGAGCTTTGGGGACAAAATTATAAGCTTGAGGCATTCTCAGGAATGCACTGAATTGTTTTCTGTATGTTTATCAAGCTGTCTGAAAACAGTGGTGACTCATTGGTATGGATGCAAGAGAGAAAATAGGCTTTCTGGATAGGTAATACTCTTCTCTTGGTCAATAATGAATCATCATTTTTCATTCCAAAGTTTCCTCGGAATCCTCTATAGTCTGTTTAGGGAATTTAAGAGGCTCTCTGATTCTGAGCTAAATAAGAAGCATAAACGTCACATTTAGTTGACTGTTCTTTTCGTCATCCGTCATCCCATAATTGCGTAGTTTAGCACTGTTACAGTCATGAAGTTTGACCCTACCCTGAGATATTCTCACTGAATAGTGTAGTAACTATTCAGTGACCTGAACCCATTGTACAGTTGCTTCTTTCCAAGTTATTTGCTGTTTCTGCAGACCTGATTAGTCCCCACAATCTTTTAAATGTCATTTCTGGTTTTCCCTACTTCATTTGTTTTTTGTTATGGCAATTTAACAGTTTGAAGTACTTGCTGTGGCTTTGCTCTTGGATTTGTATTATTTAGTCGCGACATCTCTGAAGTTGTGTGTCTTACTACTGAGCATCAGCACCTAGGTGGAAAATTTAAGCGTGGAATGAAGACTGTACAAAAAAAGAAAAAGATGGGAGGAAGGTTAAGTGTACCTGAGTAGAATGAAAAGTGTGCTGATGAAGAGTAGTAGTTGAACAGTTGATGAGTCTGGTTGAACTTAGCCATTTTGTTCTTAAAATTACAGCAGGCTCCATTTTAAAATGAACTTGGTTTTCATGGTAGTTTAAAAATGATGTAGCTGTGATGGTCCAGGAATCATGCAAGAGGCAAGGCTGTCTTAAGGTTATATGTTTTATTGGACCGATTGCTTCATTGGGATGGAGTTAGACAAGCTTTTGAATGCAAGGCATTCTTTATTAGGTATGATCAGTACAAGCTAAACATGGTGTAGTAAAAAAAAATTTTAATTGAAGAGGGCCAGAACCAGGGTCTCCCACTTCCTGGTCCTGGTCATGTGGTCTAACCATTGGGTTATTAGGCTAAGATGTGGGTGGGCCCTCCTCTTGCAAGTAAAATGTCAGGAATTTAAGTGAGATTTGCCCAGAATTCATGTGCTTTCCTGGGCAGATTAGGATTGCAAGAGAGTGTAAGGGGCTAAGGTAGGCATACAGGGTGTCTCTTGAACCTGCACAGCAGGACAGGTCTAGACGTGTAGAGTGGGATAAGATTTAAAATTTGCCACTTAATGTGTAGTGCTGGAATAGGATCAGGACTTTAAATGTCCAAGTAACACTTAAACACATTTTAGGCATAATAGGACATGGCACTAAATCTTCCAGAATTTTTGAACCTACAGCTGCAAAAATTATGATACAGACCTCTAATGTCATTAGATTTTCAGTAAAATTGTGAAAATATGTTTTATTCATGTGAGTTTTGATCCGTTTTCTATTCCAGCACATCATAAAAACATCCTGCTCACTTCATCCCCTTTGTGTATGTCAAGTTATCTGGATGGGATATCATGGATTGCAGAGGGTGGGGACAAGACAGTTGTCTTGTGACGTGTTTGAAAATGAGGACTCCAAATAAGAGAGGGGTAGATGACACCTGACATGGAGTACATGTTCCCTTCTTTTCACCCTTGATTTGGCATTCTTTCCTGTGCTGACTCTCTGTTCCTGCTTCCCAAGGTACTCTCAAGTAGCTGTTCCACTGATGGGTGCAGTGCATATCCTCACACATCCATCTCCCTGACAGATTTCAGCTCTTGGGATCCTAGTACCAATCCTACCTCCTCATCATGGCCTAGTTGCTACAGATGCAGAGATTAGACTGAGATTGCAGCAGTCTTCCCTTCTCCCCACAGACTCCAGCAGTAATCCCCACACCTCTCAACCGGGGCATGATTTCAGACTAAATGAGATCTGGAACCATCTGCTGCTCATAGCCGCCTTTGTGCCAGGTTTCATCTGGTTGAGAGAAATGCTTGCAGATCCAAAATACTGCCACACTTCATTGAATTTTGTTTTTCAAGGTCTTTGTTCTCTGTTGCTGATTGCAGAGTGAATGAAGCATGAAACCAGTTAGTTCCATCAAAGACAGGCAGCTATATAGTAAAACAGCTATTTGCATCCAAGGTTCTGTGCTCCTAAATTTGGAGGCCCCTGCATTTCTCAGGCCTAGAGCTTAATCTGCCCCTGTGTCAGGGAAATCTTCTCTCTCACTACTTAATGACAAGCTACAGGTCTTTTTTCTATCTAGGGCATTTATCCTGGATCTTAAGCAACGTTATCACAAATGGCTGAGATACTTAGCAGTTTGTCACTGAACTATCTAGTTGCCAAGCTATAAAAGTTGGCTTGCTAAAATGTATCTTTCAGTGAGAGAGAGAGAGTTGTTATGTAGTAGGAGCTGAATCCGTTTTACCTTTCCAGTCAGTCTTCCTGCCTCTAAGATCTCTCTGTCTCAGTTACTCCAGTCTTAGTGGATTACTAGCAATTACGGTTCAGGTCTTTCACTGTTACATGGGCTATATAGGACAGGGCAGGCTCCTAACTCCTGCTGACCTCCCAGTGTGCACAACCTTATTAATCAGGAGTGTTCTGTAACTCATCAGAACTATTTTGAATGTGCTTCCCTCATTGAATGGCTGCAATGTACTAGGGATGATCTGAAATGGAATTTGGTATCAATCTCCCCAACTCTTCTTTTATTAATTTCAGGAGAAACTAACTCTTCGACAGCAGCTGAATGAAGCAAAACAGCAACTACTGCAGCAGGCGGAGTATTGTACAGGAATGGGAGCAGCAGTATGTACTTTGTTATGGGGCGTCTCTAGCAGTGAAGAAGCAGTTAGAAACATTCTAGGAGGAGTAAGTTGAGTAGATATGTAAATCTTGGGCATAATGTCTGGTTAAGCATTCTGGATAAGGGGCATGCTCCAAACAACTGAACATGCAGGTATATTTCATAACTTGAACACAAGACAAAATCATCTTTTGGAACTAAATACACAGATGCAGTGCTAATGCCAACTTTTTTGTTTGTAAATTAAACACAAGCAGCTCTGCAAATAACAACGTAGCTTTGATACTGTTCTGGGCATGAGCAAGTTCTGTAATAGGTTTCACCTTCATTTTGTCTCCAGTGGGGCAAGCAGCTAGATATGTTGTACTGAATGAAAAGGGGGAAGGCTAGATTCTTTTCCACCTAAAACGTGTCTAGGAAGTGTAATTTTATTTTCTTCCAAGTCATGAAAATATATGAATACATCTACTTTTGTACTATCCTGTCTTCTTACCCATAAGATTGAGTCATGAAAAGGCAGCAAGGAGGGGGACCCACTCACTTTTTTCACTGAAAGTTTTTCAGGGACTGTAGCAGAATACAATAGAATCTCACACTAGGCACTTAAGTCCACCTTTGTGTCTAAAAGATTGGATGGGATGGAATCCATGCAATAATTTTCAAGGACCTCTTTGAGGTCAGGATCTCCAAGTCAGTTCTGGGTGTGTTCCTGATTCTGTGTTTCTTAAACCTTGATGCATTTCCTCCATCTTTGTTACTAACAATGATATGCAGGAAGCTAAAGCAGAACTCAGCCAAGATAGATATAATAGCCCCAGACTGGCTTAGAAATCTCTGTGTTCAATCAGTGATAAGGTTCACTCTGCATCTAGGTATAGTATCAGTCATGCCCAAGTCCTGCATCCCAAGCCATACACTTTTCATCTGTGTGTATAGATGTTACAACATTGCTTGGCAACATTGGAAAGAGCATACTTGTTGGAAGTCCAATAAATCTTCATTCATAGAAACATACCAAGAACATAAATTCCACAGCTGCATCTAATGTGTGGTCTGTTATTGCCAGAATTCCATTGATGAAGGAACTGAGGCAGTTGGCATGGACCTACTCTTTATTTCCTCCTTGGAGGGCCAAGGATGCTCATTGTACTGGCTTTGCTCCAGTTATTACAGCTGGTCAAAAGAATCTGTGTTTAGTACACTGGGCATATATCCACAGACAGGGAATATCTATATATCCATAGATAGATAGATACACACATGGACACACACAAGCTGGATCCATTGACATAAATTTGGAAAATGCATCACACAGAACCATAGTTACTTCAGTAATCTTTTCTTTTTTGTCGACATTTGCAGAGTAAAGCAGTAATTTTTTTTGCAATCACTGGACAAACTATGGAGAGTTTTGTGAAGTCTTTAGGTGAAGATACAAAACAGCAGGATCTGGATTCTGATGAAAATCAGTTTGTATTAGCTCTGGCAGGGATTGTAACAAGTAAGTCAGTTTTATATATCAGGACAGCATGTTGCATATACTGTAAGAAGCACATATTGCAGTAGATGTAGGAAAATAGATACCTAACTTTGATTCATTGCTCTTCAAAATGTTGATATGTTTTGTGTGAATCATCATTTCCTTAAAGTTATAATTGTTTTTTTGATTTGGTATTGTTATGACAATTTTCACAAGACTTTAAGGGTTAAAGACTTAAGAGCAGTTGTACTTTGACAACGCCTGACATCTTTCAGTGATTCCAGAGCAATTGTACTCAATTTAGAAGTAAAAGATGCTTATTCTGCTATTCCTGTAAGTTAACCTTGGTTTCTGAAAGTCAAGCTGTATATTTTTTGGCTTTTGCATCACTTTAGCATCATCATTGGTAACCCTGACATTTCTGAGGCATTTCAGTTGTAGAAGTGCCTGTCTCATTTCTACCTCAAGGTAAATGTTCAACATTTGGAAATTGCCTGAACCAGGAGGAAACTTGGTGTCACTTGTGGTTCTGCCGTGCTGAGAGTAAAAATTAGCAAACCTTATTTTTATCATTAAAGTAAATAACTATAATTCTGAATTCACGATGGAAATGGAAGCTCCCCTTTTTGCCTCAGAATCACCCTTTGAAATCAGAATTTAGACAGGGCTTTGACTTTTACTGTAACACCAATAGAAAAACATGGGCTGATTATTTAAACTTAAGGTTTTTGACAAAGTCTCTCGCAAGAAATTATCAAAGGAACTCAATATCTTAGGGTGAGAAGTAAGGTTGGAAGCTGAAGAGATGGCTATTTTATTTCTACTCTTGGCATGCAAAGTGGTTCAATTGGACACTTTTGAGATTTGTGCTCTCCTGAATGAGGGCATAATTTGCTGACGATGACACAAAATTATTTAAGTTAGTCAAGAATAGAAAAGATTGCAAAGAACTACAGCAGGATCTAAACCTTAGTAGGATGGTCTTGATGATGGTAGATGAAATTCAATGTTGATAAACGCAATGTTATGCATATTAGAATGAACAGCATAAATTATATGTACATACCAGCAGGCTCTGAGTTTGCAGCTTTGTTTTGAGTAGTAATCCAGGTGTCATAGTGGCTCTGTGAACGACTGTCTATTAAGAGAAATATAGGAAATACAACAATATACCTATTATAAGTATATTATACATTTTTAATGCCCCTATTTATACATTTATGTAGCATTCACTCTGAAAAGCCAAATTAAAAGAACACAAAAACTTGCAGAGGTCTCAAGCACCCAAAATTTAGGGAATGCTAGTATTATGGTTGGCTGTGCAACTTAAACGTAGTAGCCTTGTGAGTATGCATTATTATACAGTCTTCTGTTACATTATTGCATTCATTTTTTTTTCAGAAAACTCTTTTTATTTTTTTCCTTTGGTTCACTTCTTTTTCTGTGTTAGCTTTCTAACCATGGCTGTTTTTGTCGACAGCCCCATGCAGGCTTCACTCCTTTTCACTCCATTCTTAATTTTTTTACATTTGTTTTAAGATGCTTCGCTGCCTTTGGCTCACCATTGGAAACTCTGATAGTCTCTCTGCACTCAAAAATGTCATTGGTGCTGTAGAGCAGTGGTTCTCGACTCTGTTTGTACCAGGACCTGTTTGTAAACATCAGTGGCCAGTCCTGACATAGTAAATAGTTTAATTAGAAAACAGCCTCCTAGCCCTGCTGGTACCCCTTGCTCCCCAGCCCCACAGTGTGTGGGCTAGAGGGTGGATGCAGGAGTGACACGTAGGGGGTGCACGTGGGTGCACATGCACCCCCTGAGTGTGGTGTTGCACCGCCTACAAAAAGGCGGCGGTGCGTGTGGGTGGTTGCTACTCACCACCCCCAAACTCTGCTGCTGACACTGCTGGCGGCATCTGCGGGCAGTCAGTGATCCCTGCTGGCTACTGCTGATGCTGCTGGTGGTGTCGGCGGGTGGTTGTCATCTCTACCCCCCCACCGCCACCGGTGGCGGTATCTGTAAGAGCTCCTGCTTGCTGCTGCCATGCTTCCACTGCTGCTGTGCCGCCCCAGCTGGCAGGGGCATGCGTTGTTCATGGGTGGATGTGGGTGGCGGGGGGGCATATGCCCCCCTCCCCACCCCGCCTTGTGTACCCACAGTAGGCACAGGGCTGCACCCTGGCTGGATCAGCATGGGCAGAAGTCATGTCTGTGGCTCAGTGGGCGGGACCAAGTGCAGGAGGGCAGAATGGGGCAGTGAGACTCGTTGTTGCCACTGGACCCCCATGCCAGCTGCAATGGCAGTAGCATGAGCAGTAACAGATGGTGGGGGGAGGGGTGTGCTGCCCTCACCTTCTCCCACCACCAGCTGCTCATTCACTGGGCCGTGGGTTTACCCCTCCACCATAGCCTGGCCACCACTCCCCTCAGGCCACTCATGCTGCCTGCCACCCCACCTTCTGTCCCAGGTAGAGCCACAGCCTGAGGGGAGTGGCGGTGGTGGCTGGGCCATGGCAGCAGGGTAAAGCCATTGCCTGGTGCACAAGCTGTTGGAGATGGAAGGAGGTGAGGGCAGGAGGGCCCCCCCCACTTCCTATCCATTAGTCTTTGTGCTGCTGGCTGCACAGCTGGTGCAGGGGGCCTAGCAGTGGCAGCAGTGAGTCTCGTCACACTGCTTTGCCCTCCTGTGCCAGGTCCTGCCTGCTGGGCCATGGAGGTGGCTCTTGCCCATGCTGGTCTTGCTTGGCTGCAGCCCCATGGCCACAGTGGGTGCACAAATCTGGGGGGTGGGGGCACGTGCCCCCCCCATGCCCACCAATGCATCGCTTATGGCCCCGCACCCCTGCCCATCACATTGCCTTGCTTCTCCCTGTGTCATAGACTTACCTATGGGGAGCTGTGGAAATGACTCTTCACGATGCCTGGTTGCCATGTGTGTGTGTATACGTGCACATGGTGCCTCCTGCCTGATTGCCCTTGTCTTGATCTCCCAACCCCAAGCAGCCCCTTTCAGGCTTGAATTCTGCCAGCCTGTGACGAGCCCACGTTTTTCTCCTTTAAGGGAGAAAATCAATTATTTTCTCCTTTAAGGTAGAAAATACGTGTTTTTCTGTGGTAAATGGAAAACCCAGATCCCTGTTTACTAGGATGCCCAGCAAATGGATATGCAAAACATGATCCATTTTTAAAGTTTGTTGGCAACCCTTTTATATATTCTTGTGATCTGCTTTTGGGTCACAACCTACACAGGTTGAGAAATGCTGCTGTAGAGAGCCCTGGCTGCCAGATATGTAAATGACCTAGAAAGTCTGAATTGACCCTGGAATGGAACATGCTGAACTAGTTCCCTGGGGATGGTGCATGCAGAGTCTGATAAATTTGTAAAACCTATGGAGAGATGGAGCAGACTTGGTGTAGATGGAATCATCAGAGAATTTAGTTGCTGAGTTCTAACCAAGAAAAAGATCTTGGAGTCACTGTTGACTCCAGGATGAACATGAGTTGCCAATGTGATGAAGCAGTTGGCAGAGCCAATTGCACTTTGTCGTGCATCCATAGGTGCTTCACAAACAGGTGCAGGGAAGTGATTCTCCCCCTCTATGTGGCACTAGTCAGACCACAGCTGGAGTACTGTGTCCAGTTCTGGATGCCACAGTTCAAGTGGGATGTGGACAACCTGGAGAGGGTCCAGAGAAGAGCCACTCACCTGATTAGAGGCCTGCAGGGAAGGCCCTACGAGGAAAGGCTAAGGGACCTTAACCTCTTCAGCCTGTCCAAGAGAAGGCTGAGAGGGGACCTTGTGGTGGTATACAAATTCATAAGGGGAGAGCAACGTGAAGTAGGCAATGATCTATTCACCAGGGCACCTGCTGGAACGACAAGGAGAATAAGCTACTAGAGAGAAGGTTCAGGCTGGACATAAGGAAAAAGTTCTTCACGGTCAGGGTTTCCAGAATCTGGAATGGGCTTCCAAGGGAGGTGTTTCTCGCCCCATATTTGGGGGTCTTCAAGTGGATGGGGGTCCTCAAGAGAGACTGGACAGGTACCTGGATGGGATCACATGACCCCAAGGTTGGTGTTTCTTTTCTTGCCTGCCAGGGGCAGGGGGTCAGACTAGATGGCCCACTGAGGTCCCTTCTGACTCTATGAATCTAAACCGCATGTATCGTCTGAGACTGTTGAGGCCTACAACTGGACGAATTGTGGACACACCCCTGTACAAGAATAACCTCATGCCAAATTGCAAATCTTTGTCTTAAAGCAGGGGTTGAGAGCATTTTTGGCCACAGTGCCAAAAACACCCCAACCCCAGCCCATGCATTGACTTGGTTTGCCAGAGGCAGACTGTGGGGGAGCTACAAGGGGCACAATCCTTGCTGTTGGAAGTGGCTGCATGTGTGCCTCCAGGTGGATGGTGGGGGAGTGGCTGGGGGGATGTTGCCCTGGCCTCTTCCCTGCCTTGTGCTCCAAGGCACGTGTGCAGTTGCTGCTGGCATGGATGGTACCCCAGAGCCTGGTGCAGCTGTCTGCAGCCTGCCTACTGTCTGCTCTAAGATATTGGGTTCCAGAGCCCTGGCTGGGCTCCACGGTAGTTGGGTGCATGTGGACCTCTGCATGCAGCCGGTGCAGCTGTTTGCAGCCTCCCAGCTACAGCTGGCTCAGGCTCTGTGCAGCTACTGTCAGCCATTGAGCCTAGGCTGCTTGCAGCAGGGCTTGCAGCCTCTTGGTTGCCTGCTGCAAGAAGCCTGGGCTCTGAGGCTGGCAGCAGCTGCCAAGAGCATGGGCCAGTTGTGGCATGCTGAGCAAAATGGCCTTGGGTGTCATGCTCTGGCATGTGTGCCAGCAGTTAGTGACCCCTGCCCTAAAGCATGAAAGTGCTAAATCTTCTCAACAGAGCAGATATAAAAATATTAATAGTGTCTAAGTAATATCTCCCCCCCCCCCCCCAAAAAAAAATTCAACTTGAAGCAGATATTAAGCATGGAAAACTTCAGCTCAAATACTTGAAGTCAGGCAAAACTGTAGGAAGCTTTAAACAAGGTTTTTCAATAAGAAGTGTGCCACAGCCTTAAATACAGGTCACACTGTTTACTCTGTCTATAATAGCCTGCAGTTGTGCTCTGCCTCTAGCGTGCAAGTCCATGTCATATGGCTTCTGGGTCTCCTCAGGGGTCCAGAAATTTGGTGGTGGGGGTGTGGGAGCATCATTAATTGCTGCTCCTCTACTGCCAAATATCTGGACCCCTGATTAAGGACCACTGGAATTCAGGCTCCAATGGGGGAAAAAGTGGGCTCCCTACAGGTTTGCCAGAGCCAATATTATTCTTCATGGCAGGGTCTCCCATGCCTTTGGCTGAGGAAACTGGCCCATGGGGCTGATTGCCATTGAACAACAGCACACAGGCTGCTCTTCACCTGTTTTGCTACCATCTGTATGAAGAGTGCCTGCAGGAAACTGCTTCACTTGATCCATGGCAGAATTTTTCTTTGCTGCTTGGGGTGTCTTCACACTACTCTTGCTCATCTTTTCAGCTTTCACTGTGCAAAGTGTTGAAATCATAGAATCACAGAAATTTAGGGTTGGAAGGGACTTCAGGAGGTCATCTAGTCTGTTCCGCCCCTGCTCAAAGCAGGACCATCCCCAACTAGATCATCCCAGCCAAGGCTTTGTTTAGCTGCCTGGATGTGCGGTGAGGCTGGGAGGGAGTGGGGGAAGGGTTCCTCCCTGCTGGGTGCCTGCCTCCACAGCTGGGTGTGGGGCAGGGGCTTCCCCTGGCCCAGTGCAGGGTCTCCTGAGCCCTGCTTTTCTTTGGTGCCACGTGGGAGAGGGGAATTTTCCCTCCCCTTTGTGCAGCAGGGCTCACGAGACCCATGCTGGGTGCCTGCCACTACAGCTGGTTGTGTGACGCAGGGTGCCCCGCTGCAGAGGCTTCCCCCTGCCCAGCACAGGTTTCCTGAGCCCCACCGCATGGGGAAGGGGATGGGGGGATTTCCCTTTGTTCTTGTGTGGCAGCAGAGCAAAAAGGGGCTTAGGAGACCCTGAGCTGGGCTAGGGGAAGCCCCTTCCCTACACCAAGCTGTGGGAACATGCACCCAGCAGTGGGGAATGCTTCCCGCTCCCTCCCAACCTCACCTCACATCCAGCCAGTTAAGCAAAGCCTTGGAGGGGAAGATATAGTTGGGGGTGTACCCTGTACCCCACACCAAGCTGTGGGGGCAGGTACCCAGCATGCCTATGCCTGCAGCCCCTGTGGCAGTGGGGTACTTACCTGCTGTGCTCTGGGCAGGTCTTTTAAGCTCCCTGTCAAAGCAGGGAATTGAGCAACCTGATTGGCTGAGCTCCATCATTAATGACATGATCATTAATCTGTAGGCTGCCCCTGGAAACATATGGGGTTTATATAGTGTTTCTGGGGCTCTGCCACCTTTTTTTCTCTGTGCTTTGGATAAGGTTTTTTTCTTTCTACTTTTTTCCTTTTCCTTTTTCCCCACCTTTTTTTCCATCTCCCCCATGGTTTCAGGCCATTTCTGGCCAATCTGCAGTTTTCTGGGGCTTCATGGGAAATGCTAAATTTTGGACTTTCCCCTGATATCCTCTGAACTCTGAATTATAGTGGTCCCAACCCATGAGGAGTCCCATGAGCTGGATGACACAACCTTGTGCACTAGATTGTACCAGCACACAGTAGGCCTGGCATCCATGGTCAGGTCTGGTGCACAGGGTTGGGCTGATATGTGGCTGGATCCAGTTCTCGGGTGTGGGCTGGCATGTGTGGCTGGATCTGGGACCCGGGTGGACAGTGAGGCATCTTGCCCCTGCTGGGCTGCATTGCCCAGCCAGCAAACGTGCCTTGAGGGGGAGGTATGGGGAAGCTGCTAGCAAAGGCCGTGCCCATGCTGTGGTGCCCCTTTCTCCCTCATGTAGTCACAATAGGCCTTTCCCTTGTGCTTTGACAGGAGCCCTCGTGTCTCCTGCTCCCTCTGCCAATTTACCGCCCACCAACAGGGACCACTGCTGCCAGAACTGCCACTCCAGCTGCAGCGTCTCTGCCTTGCAGAACAGCACCTGCTGTGTCCTCTTCTTGGTGGTGCCTGGCGGCAGCGTGGGACCCTGCAGGCTCAGCTCCAGTCTGCTGTCATCTGGTGATGGAGAGGCAGGAACATGAGGGGGTTAGAACTGGGACTGGGGCCAGGCTCACTGCACCCAGAGGGACTGGAGGCTCCTGCCCCCTCAGCTGGTGCTGGGCTGTACTGCCCGGCTATGCTGCTGAAGGCTTCCAGGGAGTGTCCAGAGCGCTTACCAGGGTAGGCTGCCCAGCGAGCTGCGTTAAGGCGCATTAAGTTCAGGTGCACACAAATTCACACGTAGACACGCCCACAGTGCAAAAACCTTATCCTTAGAGTAACTTTATTTCTGACTTTTCTTTTTTTGCATATTGTATTGGGCTTGAACAGCACAGTACTCATGCAGGGTAGGGGAAGATCTTGCAAATGGACCTTGTGGGTGTTTGAATGGTTTACTGTGGCCGTGCAACCTAGGATGAATAAACAGAAAACAGTCTGTATTTTCCTTACTTCCTTTAATATGAGCTCTATAAGGATTTGCTTTGCATTATGTCAGTGCTGTTTGAGGATGCCAGTTCAGAACTTGAATGCAGCCTTCTGCCTCATAATTCATAGCATTACTACTTGTGTTGCTAGGCCACCATGAGCACATATTTTTATTACCAGTGTATAATTATTAAAAGGGTTGACAAATATTGTTTGCTGCTTCAGTAGGCTCAATATAATTGAGTAGATAACTATAACATTATGTTTATATATGCCTATAGTGTATTCTTCTCAGTTCCTTCATTGTCAGTGGTACTAGTAATTAAAGTGAGCCTGTATTAACTATGAATTTATTTTTTTGTTTGAAATGTGATTAATGTAGTATTATTTTGTGTTCTGTTGTAGATGTTGCTGCATTGGCATGTGGCCGTGAGTTCCTGGTTAATTCCAGTCGGGAGCTGTTGGACACAATGATACAACTTCTGGGAGATATGAAGCCAGGATTTTGTACCAAACTTAAAGTGTACGGTGGCTACATAGTTTCAAAATGAAACTGGTTACCTTGCAATATAGTCTGCCATTACTACAGCTATTTTCCTAATGGCCTATTATTTCTTTAGCTGGAGCAGAACTTCATTGGTTGGAATTAATAATCACAGGAGGCATTCTTTACAGCTATACCACATTGGACTACAAAGCTGGGGATTGTATATTGTTTTCCATTAGATAAGGTTGCATGCACATGAAGGGCAGCTGGACACGTATGCTAGGCTGAAGAGAGGATTGGATAATGACTATCTTGTGGTCTGGTAGTTATAGCACTGTGCTGGGAAGTCAGAGTTGCAAGTTTAAATATCCTTTGTGTGTGGGGGCCTAGAATCTGGGTCTCCCCCTTCCGGGGTGACTGCCCTAGCCATTGGGCTGTTGGCTAGAAGATAGCAGTCCCAGCTCCTACCCATTTCGTGTTTTGCCAAGAATTTCAAGACTCGTGCTCAAATACACACATACTGAGCTGTCCCACAATGCAGCCAACTGTGTATGGTCAGTAGCCAGGTGTATCCCTACAGCACATGGAGTACAAAATGTGGCTAAGTGCCAGAATTGTCAATTATGCAATGAAGTAATTGCCATGTGGGTGTGTAAATTGAAATAGGATTCTGCTCCAAGTTTCTTGCGAGATCCATCAAGGACCATTGTCTTTAATGCAGAGATATGGCCTATTCCTGCATTGGCAAAAGTTTGGGTTGCTAGGATGCTGGTATTTAAGGGTGGGTCAAGTTTTAAAGCAGGAAGAAGAGCTGAAAGAAATTAAATGAAAATAAATCTGTTTAAAGTATCATCTTTTAATGAAATAAGTTGGATTTTCTAGTAAATGAAGACATGAAATGCATTATAATCTCTTCTGAAATTTCCTCAGCTATTACAGCGTCACCTAAGTGAGTTGTACATAGCAGGGAAAAATCCATCTCATTTTAGTTATCTGTCATTGGATACACTGGTGATCTAGGGACATATAAGTAGGTAGTTAAATATTTGGATGTGCTGATTCTTTGATTCATGTATGAAGGAATTATTTTTAGTAGGCATTAGAATTTGTTGAATGTTGGTCTGTGAAAAAACATGAACATTGCATGATCATGTCATTGAATGATTCATTCATCTTACATACCTGTCATTGCAGGTTACCTCCATCTGATTTAGTGTCTGTCATAGACTCTCCCAACCTGAGAGTTTGAAAGTCAGCATTCCATCTGGAATAGCTAAATTGTGCAGCATTTAGTAGGATCTTACTAAGGGAAGTTTGTGGAGAAAAGCTTTGAAAATACAATGCTGAAAGTCCACAATGCAAATGAAGAGAACTCAAGGTTTTTTCTTCCCAAGTAATGTGATTTTTAAGCCAGAATGATTTTTTGAGTCCTGACTCATTTTTGAATGCTTGGAATTGACAGTACTGTAATTAAGCAGTGGTTGAGGAGCTTTTTGTTGTTGTTGTTGTTTTTGGAAAGACATCTAAAACAAAAAAAATGTTATAGAGGTTTCCCTTGCCAACCACGATTTTGCCAACCATGATTTTGAGTATCCACACTTATATTCTGTATACCATTTTGTCTACCACAGTATACAGTTTTGTGTAACCATGGTTTTCTGTGGCCATGCATCAGCCCGCCCCTGCCATTTTTCACCTGCTTTTGTCTTGCCAACCACAGTTTTGCCAACTACGGGAACTTTCAGGAACCTAACCCCAGCGGTTGGTGAGGGAAACCTGTTTTTCAGATTTAACTGGAGGTGATAGCCAACTTTACCAGACAGCTTCTTCTATGATGATGTAATCTTCATCAACTCCACAACAGTCCTAGGAAAACAGGTACAAATCTAGCCCATAGACCAACCACAGACTCTGCATGGGACATTTTGTTTGAATATTAATTTATAAATTCTATTAAACTATTAGCAAGAGAGGCTTCACAAACTCTTTGGTGGTTTAGAAATTTTAGCCACAAATTAATTTTATTGTATCGCTACAATACATTTTACAATACAAATCCTTACACAGTGTAATGATCTTCTTTGATCATATCCATGTTCGGCATTCAACAAAGTGCTCGCTTTAAATTTTATGTTAAGACCAGATACCACAGAAGAGAATCCTGCACAGTCCTGGCATAATCATCTTATTGAAAGATAATGGGACTGATACTTGTGCTAGTTTGCTGGTATGATGGGGATACTAATTAAAGATTAATCACATGCCTATTAGTGTCTTAGAAAAAACATTTTCTCCCATTTGAACTTTTATCTTGATGGATGTGGGATAGGTGGAGCATGTCTTGTGGCCAAAATTGCAAGGCCTGTATGGCAAGGTAGCTTTGCCAGGCTATCATGAGTGACTGGTGCCTCCTGAATCTGGTGGGGCACCCGCAGAAGCTGCTGACGGCAGCGGCCCTGTCAGGGTGGGCACCAGCCTTACTTACAGCATCAGTGCCGGCTGTCAGGGGGGGCCCCACCGGGGGTCGCATGTGCACCAGTCGCCTATGCAGGCTAGTATATGATTTTTAAAGAGATCAAAACAATTAAAAGTTCTAGAGGTGAATCGTGACTCCTGACTTGGAAATGAGCTGACATATATTCCTCTGAGCAAAGGACATAGGCGATGCATAGTGGGGGAACGTGCCGCCCTTGAAATTGGCCCTTGCCGGCCGGGGAGTGGGGGCGTTGAAAGAAGCCAGTGGCTGATGTCCCCCCTTTGATTGTGGGTGTGCCCAAAGAAGCACTGCCAGCACTTCCAGTTGTGCTGCACCTCTGGTTTGCTGCACCTCTGGCATCGGTGATTGGCTGCTGGGGGATCACCCCCCCCCCAGTCAGCGACTGGTCACTGGTGCCCCCCAGAGCCAGGAGGCACCAGTCGCCCATGGCAAAGGATATGCTTATTTCAAACGTTTTGGTTTTCCACTGGTTGCTTTATAAAAAGAGTAGCTAACTCAGACTGTTGTGCATTTTTTTTTTTTTGTCACTTGGACAAATATCAAAATAGAGTATGTGGGGGGGCGGGATTTAATATTGGAATGAAAGGGAAAGACAAAACAATAGGTTAAGGTCACAGTAGTAGTAGTAGTAACCTGTAGTTCCCCCAAGTGGATGGTCACTCGTGCCATTTAAACGCATGCTCTGGGAGGTGGGGGGAGGGTGGGTGCTTTAATTAGAGCAACTCTTGGAGCTGATCTAATTAAAGCACCTGAAGCATCTCATGTATCAGCATCCCTGCGCTGAAAAATGGCGGCAAGGGCACTTTAATTAAAACTCTGAGACACTGGAGTCTGCTGGAGTGTGATAATTACCATGCTCCAGCAGACTGTTAATTGAGTCTGCTCCAATGCACCTTAATTACAGTGTGTTGGAGCAGCCTCACTGCTTGTGTATAGGTGCCCTAGGTGTCAATGTTTGGGTACACCCACATGAGATTGCAGCACTCTTCCCTTGACATCTGTTGCCCAGTTGCTGAGCACAGTATCTGTATTTGCTTTTCCTTCACAGACATAGGACTTTGCCATCCCACCTACTATGAGCCTCTAGGATCTATGCTCACTCACCATCAAGATTCCTCAGTAACTGAAACATACTTGCCTCAGGAACCCAGGCTTGTGGGCACTTGGAGTTTTGTTTCACCTCCTCATTGCTATGTGCTAGTGGAAGCACATGGACACACAAGCTTTGTATGGAATTCTGAAAACAAACCACTCTTTGCTTTAGCTAGCACAAGAATCCTACCAGCGTAAATGAAACCATGTAATACCTGCATGTATTTCCCTGCCGCTGTTTCTTATTGCTTTTTGAGCTTAGATCCTGTTTCTCTAGGGTGTCCAAATCCAGGATCCCTTCCTGCACATGGCTTTTCCTACAAATCATTCTTCTCTTGTAGCCTTTTTCTTTCTCCCTTGACTGGTCTCTCAGTTAGAAGGGGACTCCTCTTCACTTTACTGCATAAGCTTGCTCATCCTGCCCAGGTTTCCTTTGTTCTGGAGTACTTCTAAAGTGTCTCCTCCCGCCTTCCTCCCCCAAATCTCTGAGGTCCTCTGGTTTTTAAGACCTAGCAGTAACCTCTTTATTCTCCTGTTTGGAGATTTTCCACTCTCCAAACCTCACCTACCTGCACAATTCTGTGGCCCAAGGATTTGTGTAGGATACAGTTATTCTTTTGTTCAACCTGATAAGCTCTATTCAGATGCATAATAGTCTTTAACCATCAACCTTTTCAAAGATAGACATCTTGGTGCCATTCCTGGATTCTCAGCTCAAGGACTGTGAGGCAGTACAGAGTAAAAAACAGTCATAAGAATACAGAGAACATCCTGAAATGTATTAGTTGTATGTAGATTTCCTGGTTTGTTACATTAAGTGTATTTAAAATGAAACCTTATGGATCTCCATATAGGAACTTTGGGAATGCAATGTATATCTGTGGAATTACACTTAAAGAACGCTATCCACATGAAGTCTAAGCAGTTTTTTAAATGTTCAGTTATGTAGTCTCAAAAATGACATTTATCTGTTGGTTAACTTTTGTGGGTTTCCAGTTGCATTTTATTCTTTCTTTTAATGTTTTTTTCTTGTTGTGCAAAAGACCAGCAAATGGGTTATAGCGAACTGTAGACAGTGCAGTCAAATCCAGAGTTGAAAGTAGTTAGCAAAACTTGTTACCTTTATGTGGTTAGTTCACTGCATTAGTCAGTAGAGGGGGCTGAATACAATGTTTCTTTCTAATGCTAAGGAAAATTTTAACAAATGCAGCTCTTACTTTAATTTGCTAGGCTTAAATGGAAAAATTCTGTTATATGCATGACTTTTAAACATTTTAAACATTAGAAGATGTTGCTTATCAAGCAGTTTGATGTGTAGAACTTGCTTTTATGGTGTGTGAGTGCCAAAAAATATTTAATTTTCAGTTTACAGGTTGTAAGAGAGCATAGAGGTAAAAGTGGCATAAAGACACAGGCAGTGTTTCCACATTATGTGTGGGCAAGTGCA